AATGCCGGCTTTGGAGTCATTTTGCTGAGGTTGCAGTCCCAATTCTGCCACTTCCTAGCAGCGAGGCCCTGGCAAGTTTCTGAATCTTTCTAAATCTCAGGTTTCTCATTTGTAAAAAGAAGATGGTGATACTTATCTTTTAGGGCTGACTAGCAGCATACCTAGCTTATAATATGCGGTCATTAAAGCAGACACTCTTCTTAAAAAATTTTTTTATACACTAGTGATGGGGTTACTACATTAGCCTATTATCTAATAAAACTTTGTCTGCTAAAGACACTGCATTCAATAATTTTTGACTTACCTTTCTGACAGTTTAATATCTCAGAAGATAGAAGAAATAATTTGCAAACTTACATTCGGACTTAGTAGAATTAAAAAAAGTGGTGATGGGTCTCTGAAGAAAGCAACCACGTGAGCGACAGTACTGTGTAACAACGGACTTGGCTACAAGCTCATCACCTAGGAGCCATGTAATCTTGCAGCGGTTACTTAATCTTTCTGAGCTTCCATTTCTTCGTCTGTAAAATGCAAACAATATCTAGTATATAGGGTGATTGTCATGACTAGAAATAATTCATGAAAAATTTCTGACACGTATCAGGCACTCAGTAAGTGGCACCTGTTTTTATTATTACTGTAGAAAATAGAGGGTTAGATTTCACAAAGTTTTATGAAAACAATAGGTATGATCCCAAGACTGAGACTCTAAAAGAGGTAGGCAGGGTTTTTTTTTTTTTATCAGAAGAACAAATTTGGTTTATTAGGCTCATGGCACTGTCCCTATTGCGCTAAGTACACATTTGGCACAGTTACCTCTTTCTTCTCAACCTTTCTCTGCTCGACTCTGCAATTGTAAGTGATTCCAACAACAAAGGAAAGCGGAGGCTTAGGAAGAAAATGTTGGTGCTATAAAGAAGTTCTCTGGTTAGCTAAAATTTTAAAACATTGAATAATAAGTATGACAGCTGCCTCGTCTGGGTTTTGAGAGTTCAGCCAAGGTGCTGGATTAAACATTTTATACAGATTATACTCTTTAATTCTTTCCGTTGTTGGCCTACAGATTATTAGAAGATGACTGCATAGCGGACATTTGTCATATTCCTGGTTGCCCAGCCACCAAATTGCCTTGATATGTTGGGGAAACTTATAAAGAGGACTGCGTCTCACTCGTGGAAGCCAAAAGGCCCTGGTTTTTCCTGATCACTGACTGCTGGGGACCTAAGCATGACTGATCAGCCAGTCCCTCCCAAATTGTGATTCTGGAGACAGGAGCCAAGAGAGGCAGGCAATGGATAAAACTTATTCTGGTAGTGGTGGTATTCAGTATTTGTCAGTGATGGCAGCTAGGTCACCTATGGTACCCCATCACCAGGGAATTGCCAGTGTCCAGCAGCAGCATCCTTCCTGCGGCATGGTTTCCTCTGTGGGTCTGGCCACCCAGCCTCCCTTGTGCCTGCCTATTTTCCTAGCATGGTCCTCCAGCCTTTCCATTGATTCTTTGAGCTCCCCAATCTCTTTCAATAAATTCTTTTTTCTTAGATAAATTCTAAATTCTAACTTCAGTTAACCAGAATCAAGTTTTGTTGCTTACAACCAAGAGACTCTGGCTAATACATAGTCTTTAGGTAACGTTCAACCCAAAAGAGTCTGATGCTGCTGCTTTAGTACAGATCTCTGGATAAAGTCAAGTTTACAACTGGTCTGGGAGCTCTGTCTGGGTTCCCTTTAAGCCCATGCACCTCAGGCAAAATGTCTGCTGCCCCACCCTAAACCAACTCTTTGTTTCCCACAACTTCTTAATTCACACTCACTCAACCACCTAGTGAATAAACACTTATTCAGCACCTACTATAGACAAGGCAATATGCCAGGCTCTGAGAGGAATCCAAAGATCAATAAACTGTGTACTTTTGAATTTTGAACCAGGTAAATATATTTTCTTTTCAAAAATTAAATTTAAAAATTAACCACTCTGTTGAGGGTAGAAGTGAAGAGAAACTCTTTTCATCTTTGAATTAGTGTCACTGGGGGCAAGATGATGGCCATTTCTTGGTAAATGTACTAGAAATCGGTCCCAAAAGGCAATTGGACTCCTTTGTTAGAAGTTTCCAGTCGCAAACAAACAAGTAGGTCTCTAGAGCACTGAGAAAAGAATAGCTTTTCTGAAGTTGACAACTAGAGTGCTACTCATCAGAATATTTATGGGGCTGGCCCAGTGGCATAGTGGTTGGGTTCCCTGGTTCAGATCCCTGGGGCAGACTTACACACTGCTCATCAAGCCATACTGTGGCGGCATCCCACATAAAGTAGAGGAGGATTGGCACAGATGTTAGCTCGGCAAAAATCTTCCTCAAGCAAAAAGAGGAAGATTGGCAACAGATGTTAGCTCAGGGCCAATCTTCCTCAACAAAAAATAAATAAAAATTTTTGACTAGGATGAAAGATGGGATAGTGCCATGCATGAGAAATTTAACTCAAGATAATCCAGAGTCCTAAAATAGAATCAAAGAAACACCACTTTTTTTTTTTTTTTGAGGAAGATTAGCCCTGAGCTAACATCTGCCACCAGTCCTCCTCTTTTTTGCTGAGGAAGACTGGCCCTGAGCTAACATCCATGCCCATCTTCCTCTACTTTTTTTTTTTACATGTGGGACATCTGCCACAGCATGGCTTGACAAGCAGTGTGTAGGCCCGCGCCTAGGATCTGAACTGGTGAACCCCAGGCCTATGAATCAGAACTGTGGACTTAACTGCTGCACCACCGAGCGGGCCCCAAAACATCACTTTCAAATGAAAACACCATCCAGCTTGTCTCCTTTTCCTTAAATTACCAAATGAACACTTCTCCACTCCAAGGGAGTAGAGACCCCACTACCTCTAGGACCCCTATAATACAGCAATTGCCCAGGGGGTTGACGCTTGTATCTGAAAACATAGAATACTTGATACAAGCAAGGAAGAAAGGCACACATTAGTAAAGTAAAACAGGTAAAGCAGATTATTCCACATACCCAGAAAAGACTGTCACACACACACACACACACACACACACACACACACTTTACAGGAGCAACTGAGGTGCTGAGCGCTCACCAGACCCTCACCCATAAACAGTTAGGAGTCTGATCTACAAGTCAGACTTGGTTTTGGGACTTCAGACAAGTCACTTAACCACTCTAGGACTCAATTTCCCTTCAGAACTGGAAGGAAACTTAGGGATCACCTAAACCAGTCCTTAAATTTTACGTGACTCTTCTTTGAAGCATCCCCAATAAACCTCTGTGCTTGAATGCTGACTTTTAGTGACAAGATGCTCTCTCCAGGCGACTGATGTCATTTTTGAAACGCTCCAGTTGTTAGAGAAGTTCTTCCTCACATGCTCGCAGGGTGTCTCCCCATAGCTTTCCCCATGCTACTGACCGCTAAGGTTAAGTCTAATTCATGGACAGCTCTTTAAGAAAGCTCTCAACTTCCTTTGCTTTCTTGTCCACAGGCTAAACCCACGCCCTCGTCTTCTGTTGTTCTCAATAGTCACATTCAAGATACAACACCCTTCTGGTCTTCATGCTTTCATGGGTGTAGAGTAGAGGTTAAGCACCCTGGAGCCTCAGTCTGGATTTGAATACTGTCCTGTCACTTTGTAACTTTGTGACAGTGGACAGGTTACATTCATTTCTTTAGCCTTGTCTTTCTCTCTAAAATAGGATAATAATAATAATAAGCACACCTATCTCTCAGAGAAGCTGTGAATGAGATAAATGAGAAAATACAAGTAAAATGTTTAGTATAGTACCTGGCACTTAGTAAGCCATGTTACTACTGCTATCATCAATCACAATAAATAATAAGCCCTAATCATGACAATGAGAATAAACGTTAGAACCGGGAGGATTTAGAAAAGTTAATCTAGTCCATTAATGAGTCCACAAATAAGGTCTGGTGGCCCTGCCTTTCCCTATTTTGCGTAGCAATTATCACCTTCAATTGTGTTCAACGTCTGACTTACCCCGAAGAGGGCGGGGACCTTGTCTGTCAGGTTGACAGCTGGATAGTTAGTACCTAGACCAGAGTCCTGCTCACGGTAGTGAGAGAGTGGACGAACAGCTTCCTATCATAGAGGAGAAACTGGGGCGCAGCGAGGCTGGCAGACTTGTCTAAGATTGCGCACAGGGCTCCCGGGAGAGCTGGGACAAGAACTCAGAGGTCCTGGGCAGCCGACACTTAGAATTCAATCAAGGTCCAGCCCGGGAGTTTGGTGATTCGGGCACGAACACTGACAGACATCCAGTGATTCAGAGTCAACATTCCCACCGTGTGGCCTAAGTGCTGACCTGTGTTTTCGGGGTGACGAGCTGGAGCAAGGAGAAGACGGCTTAATGAGAAGCCGCCGGTATGTGGGTCCCGTGGGTGGGTCCCCGGGCGCGGCGCTAACACCCACTTGCAACGCTCCGTGCTGGCTGCGGGCCAGCGCTCGGCTACCGCCGGGCCATGCCGGCTAGGGGAGGGCCACCCCGGCTGAGGCCGACTCCCGGGAGCCGCGAGGGGAAAACAACCCGGCTCCAAATAGACAATTAACAAAGGCTGGAGGCCCGGGCCCCTCGCGGCGCACGCGCGCACGCCGCGTGGGCAGAGCCGCGCCCGCCCGCGCCCTCCGTGGGAACGGCGGCGCCCCCCACCCCCACCCCCACCCCCACCCCCACCCCCACCCCGCTCCCGGCCCGGCTGCGCGGTCCCCGGGGGGCCGAGCGCCGCGCTGGAGCGCCGGCACCTTGCGCGCGCGGTGAGTGCGCCCGGGCGATTGGGGCCGGCGGGCTGGGGCCGGCGAGAGGCGCGGGAAAGCAGCTGCTGGTCCTTCCAGAAAGGGAGGTGGGGGACGCGGGAGCGACGACGCGCGGTCCCCCTTGCTCGGTAGCTAGCTTTGTGGAGCCTTCTGGGAGTGCCAGCAACCTGATCCACGTGACCCGACCGCGTCGTTTTACAGGTGAGAAACAGGCCCAGAGAGGTAAGCTGGTCTAGTAAAAACTAATTGGTGTTCTTTGTATCTGTTTTTATATCCTGCCTGCTTCAGTGGAGGATTTGGGGTGACTTTTAATAAGAATCCATATGTTAAAACCATGGAATAATACAAACAATGGTAAAGATCCTTGCCAAAGAAAGTATAATTATAAATAGACAGTCAAGGCCAGGAGGAAAGAAAACGGAAGTCTGCCGTCCATAGGTGAGCTGCCTTGGCCGAGGTCCTGGGAAAAGTAGTGCCAAAGCTGCGACTAGGAGCCTGAACGTCCCGTACCGCCATAGTGCTCCCTGCACAGTGAGCGCCAGGACCTTGTGGGGGAAGGAGAAGCTGACAGCCTGCCCAGCACTGGTTCTTAACCTTCTTGGGATCACTGACCCCTTAGAAATCTGGGTCCCCTGCCCACAGAGGGCCTCACACACAGCCTGGCAGTTTGAGATTTGACATGAAGCATTCCTGCTGTCAGGATTGGCTGACGGCTGGCGCTCAGGCCACGCCGCTTCAGAGCAGTGTATTTGCTCCTTTTAAAGGGAGGCAGCTGGTGAAGGAGCGAATGCCCGCTGTGAGTCCACACGGAGTCCTGACACCGCCAGCTGTGGGATCTGGGACTCATGGTTTAATCTCTCCAAGGTCCAGTTTTCTTTGTAAAATAGAGATAAGATGGTCTGCTTTGTCCTTCAGGTTATTGTCAGACTTAAGAATGGATGCTGATCCCAGTGCCTGGCATGTAGTAGATGCTCAACCAAAGTGCTGGCGTGCATAATCCAGTGCATCACAGCTGTGCCAGTTAGGAAAGGGTGATGACCTGGAGGAAATTGGGCTGTATCTGAAATAAAATAAAAATTTAAAAATTGTAAACATGCAAATATAAAGTCAACCCTATTATGACTTACAAACCAGGTACATACCTTGGTGATGGAAACCTAAATGAATGCACTTATTTAGAATAGTGCACTGCATTCGATATTTGACCCAAGGTAAAATGCTAAAAGGAGAAACTAATAGACTTTCTAATAAGGACTGTTTACTGGGACTCACTTGCCTCTTTTGAATGGAGCCGGCACCTGTGTAGTTTTTAAATGAAAGGACATACGTGGGGACCTGGGCAGCACCCAGTCTTGCCTGGCATTGGAGGTTGGGCTGAGTTTCTGCCAGGGTACAGGAGTTGCTTGGCGGTTGGCTCACGTCCCTCTTGGATCAGCAGCTTGCTGTGGTAAACAGTGACTTGGTTGATTCTGCTCTAGATCAAATAAATGGCTTTTTATTTAACTGATGGGGGTGTGTGTCTTTGGGTGCTATAACTGAGGCAAGTGGCGTTTGTTGAGATTGATTGTCCAAACCTATTGTTGTTTATTGACAGGCTTCAGAACTTTAAAATCTATGGCTCCAAAATTGTGAGGACAGGGCTTGGGCAGGCCTACTGATCTATCAAAAGAACTGCTGTTACAAAATACTGTATTGTCTTCTTTCTCTGTCATTTTAGGCCTGGCACACGGAGCCAGGGAAATAAGGCTTAGGGCAAATTCCTGCTATTTAATTTGGGTTAAGACATACACTACCTGTCTGGTGGGTTACATTCTTCACGTATTTATAAAGAGGAATTTTTCCTCTGAGAGAGAGGGGGACAGGAGAAGAGTGAGTGTATGTGCGTATGTCTGGAATTTCTCTTGCCGTCTCTCTGTCTCACCCCTAATCAGTCATTTCTCAACCCAGAGAAATCCGTTTTCTCCAGGCTCAGTGACCTTGGCAAATTTCTTCCCTTCTGGCTCTGTGGCCTGATTTTGTATCATAGGAGGTCTGTGGCAAAGTTTTTTCTAATTTGACCTTTAGGTTCCAAACATCAGCACCCCGTGGTACATCACAGAGTGAACAGGCTCCCTCTCTTCGGCAAAGGCCCTTTCTTAGAAGGTGGCCCGTGCCCCCTTTGTTGTGTTTTCCCCTCCAGACTCACTGCCTCATTCCTTCAACCATTCCTTAGCAGGACCGGATTAAGAGCAGGATTTCTCAAGAAATGATCTACAGACCACGTGCATCAGAATCACCTAGGGGCCTGTTAGAATGCCCACCTCTGACCTACTGAATCAGGATCTTCAAGAGCGGGGTGAGAGTTTGTGTGCCTAGTAAGTGCTCCTGGTGATTCTTATGCACCTTTGGTGCCTGTGTGTGTGCTGGGGGGTGAGGATTGGTGGTGGGGAACTACTAATTCTTTATAAATTTCTCTATTGTTTGTCTAGTTATGTAGTGAGGAAGAGCCTCTTTTCTCATTTAAACAACCAACCAACTCATGATGTCTAAAGAAGATTTATAGATGGCAAATAAGCACTTGAAAAGATGCTGGAGATCATTAGTCATTGGGGAAATGCACGTTAAAAGCACAATATCACTTTATACCTATCAGGTTGGCTAAAATTGAAAAGACTATACCAAGTGTTGACAAGGCTATGGAGGAACTGGAACTCTTATATACTGTTGGTGGGAATGTAAAATGATCGAACCACTTTTTTAAAAGTTTGACATTTTAACAAGTCAAATATACACCTATGATGTGATCCAGACATTCCACTCCTAGGTCCAGCTTTATTACAAGAGAGAAATAGGAGACAACCGATTGTTTGTCCAGTGCATGGATAGATAAACTGTTTTATATCCATATAATAGAATACTGCTCGCATTAAAAAATAATGAACTATTGATAGATGCTATGACATGGATGGATCTCCAAATAGTTTTGCCAAAAGAAATAAACTAGCTTTTAGAAAGTACACACTGTATAATTCCATTTATATAAAATTCAAGGGGAGTTGCTATCTCTTAGCTGACCTCAAATTTTTGATGGCTTCTAAGAGTTGCGTATGATCATATTAGTCTAACTCCACATACAATAGTGTCATTGGCAATCTGATCATTATTCTGCCCATGTTCATTCATTCATTCATTCAATTAATTGAGCACCTGCTATGTGCTAGATGTAGAGTAGACACCAGGTAATGCATTCATGAATAAAAGAGACTTGATCCCTTCCCTTGTGGAGCTTACACTTTATTGAATCAGCCAGTAAAACAAATAGAATAAAAATAATTACTGGGGGAAAGGAGTGGTTCTTTGGAAGGGGATGGGAGTCAGGGAAGACTTGCCCGGGTTTTGAACAGAGAAGTAAAGCATTCAGTTCCATGTTTTTGAGTGACGGCTCCCTGTTAGTGCTGTGCATCCTCTCAGGAGGCTGTTGTACTCATCCAGCAGAAAGGAGATGGAGGTTTAGACTCAGGTGATCTTAGAAATGGAAAGCGCTGAAGGAACTGATGGGTAGCCTTACTAAAACAAGGCAGATCCCAGAGGTTGACACTGATTAACACTTTGTGTTCAGTAGTGTCGTCAGTTTTTAGTCCATATTACTGTCCTGTTGCCTGCCCCCAGCGTCTATAACCACGTCTTATTCTATCGCTGCATTTTATTTCTTACATGTAAGGATGTCAGGTGAGACAGTCAACACCTCGCTGGTCCAGTTATACTAGCCTACAGCATTCCTTTAATCTACTGACCTAATTGACCTTCCATAAGGAAATGAGGGTAGTTTGCCATTACTTGTTTTTTTTTGTTTATTTTTTAAATTATAGTCATAATAGTTTGTAACGTTGTGAAATTTCAGTTGTACATTATTATTTGTCAGACACCATAATAAGTGTGCCTCTTCACCCCTTGTGTCCACCCTCCACCCCCCGTCCCCCTGGTAACCACTAAACTGTTCTCTTTGTCCGTAAGTTTGTGTTCCACAAATAAGTGAAATCATATGGCGTTTATCTTTTTCTGACTTATTTTACTTAACATAACACCCTCAAGGTACATCCATGTGGTTGCGAATAGGACAAATTTGTCTTTGCTATGGCTGAGTAGTATTCCATTATATATATATATACACACACATCACATCTTCTTTATCCATTCACCAGTTGATGAGCACTTGGATTGCTTCCACGTCTTGGCTATTGTGAACAATGCTGCAATGAACATAGGGGTGCATAAGCCTCTTTGTAGTGTTGATTTCAAGTTCTTTGATAAATACCTAATAGTGGGATGGCTGGATCATATGGTATTTCTATTTTTAATTTTTTGAGAAATCTCCATACTGTTTTCCGTAGTGGCTGCACCAGTTTGCATTCCCACCAGCAGTGTATGAGGGTGCCCTTTTCTCCACAACCTCTCAGACATTTGTTATTTTTTTTTTTTTTAAAGATTTTATTTTTTCCTTTTTCTCCCCAAAGCCCCCCGGTACATAGTTGTATATTCTTCGTTGTGGGTCCTTCTAGTTGTGGTATGTGGGACGCTGCCTCAGCGTGGCTTGATGAGCAGTGCCATGTCCGCGCCCAGGATTCGAACCAACGAAACACTCGGCCGCCTGCAGCGGAGCACGCGAACTTAACCACTCGGCCACGGGGCCAGCCCCTACATTTGTTATTTTTTGTCTTGGTGATTGTAGCCATTTTAATGGGCGTAAGATGATATCTACGTGTAGTTTTGATTTGCATTTCCCTGATGATTGGTGATGTTGAACATCTTTTCATGTGCCTATTGGCCATCTGTATATCATCTTTGGAAAAATGTCTATTCATATCATCTGCCCATTGTTGGATGGAGTTGTTTGTTTGTTTGTAGTTCAGTTGTATGAGTTCTTTATGTATTATGGAGATTAACCCCTTGTCAGATATATGATTTGCAAATATTTTTCCCGGTTGGTGGGTTATCTTTTCGTTTTGATCCTGGTTTCTGTTGCCTTCCAGAAGCTCTTTAGTCTGAAGTCCTACTTGTTTATCTTTTCTTTGTTTCCCTTGTCTGAGTAGACATGGTATTCAAAAAGATCCTTTTAAGGCTGATGTCAACGAGTGTACTGCCTATATTTTCTTCCAGAAGTTTTATGGTTTCAGGTCTTACTTTCAAGTCTTTGGTCCATTTTGAGTCTATTTTTGTGTATGGAGAAAGATAATGGTCAACTATCATTCTTTTGCATGTGGCTGTCCAGTTTTCCCAAGACTGTTTATTGAAGAGGCTTTCCTTTCTCCATTGTATGTTCTCAGCTCCTTTGTTGAAGATTAGCTGTCTGTAGATGTGTGGTTTTATTTCTAGGCTTTCAGTTCTGTTCCGTTGATCTCTGTGCCTGTTTTTGTACCAGTACCATGCTGTTTTGACTACTGTAGCTTTGTAGTATATTTTGAAGTCTAGGATTGTGATGCCTTCAGCTTTGTCCTTTTTCTCAGGATTGCTTTAGCTATTTGAGGTCTTTGGTTGCCCCCTATGAATTTTAGGATTCTTTGTTCTATTTACATGAAGAATGTCATTGGGATTCTGATTGGGATTGCATTGAATCTGTAGATTGCTTTAGGTAGTATGGACATTTTAACTATGTTTATTCTTCTGATCCATGTGCATAGAATATCTTTCCATTTCTTTATGTCATTATCAATTTTGTTAATGTGTTATAGTTTTCCTTGTATAGGTCTTTCACCTCCTTGTTTAAATTTCTTCCTAGATATTTTATTCTTTTGTTGAGATTGTAAATGGGATTGTACTCTTGAGTTCTCATTCTTTTAGTTCGTTATTGGAGTATATAAATGCCACTGATTTTTGTAAGTTGATTTTGTATCCTGCAACTTTCCTGTAGTTGTTGATTATTTCTGCTAGTTTTCTGATGGATTCTTTAGGGTTTTCTATATATAAAATCGTGTTGTTTGTAAACAGCGAGAGTTTCACTTCTTCAATGCCTATTTGGATTCCTTTTATTTCTTTTTCTTGCCTAATTGTTCTGGCCAAAACCTCTAGTACCATGTTGAGTAAGAGTGGGGAGAGTGAGCACCCTTGTCTTGTTCCTGTTCTCAGAGGAATGGCTTTCAGTTTATCTGCATTGAGTATGATGTTGGCTGTGGGTTTGTCATATATGGCCTTTAGTATGTTGAGGTACTTTCCTTCTATACCCATTTTATTGAGAGTTTTTATCATGAATGGATGTTGGTTCTTGTCAGATGCTTTCTCTGCATCTATTGAGATTATCATGTGGTTTTTGTTCCTCCTTTTGTTAATGCGGTGTATCACATTTATTGATTTGTGGATGTTGAACCATCCCTGTGTGCCTGGTATGAATCCAGCTTGATCATGGTGTATGATCTTGTTAATGTATTGCTGTATTCGATTTGCCTATATTTTGTTGAGGATTTTTGCATCTGTGTTCATCAGTGATATTGGCCTGGAATTTTACTTCTTTGTGTTGCCCTTGTTTGGCTTTGGTATCAGGGTGATGTTGGCCTCCTAGAATGTGTTAGGAATTTTTCCATCTTCCTCAATTTTTTGGAATAGTTTGAGAAGGATAGGTAATACATCTTCTTTGAATGTTTGGTAGAATTCTCCAGAGAAGCCGTCTGGTCCTGGACTTTTATTTTTTGGGAGGTTTTTATGATTTGTTTTTTTGTTTTCTGTTTTGTTAACCTATGCTGGCCCCAAGTGATCTCTGTTTCGCTTTCAAAGGGCTGACAGACCATCTGTTTTAATCAAGTGGCAGAAACCCAATTCAGAGTGGCTTAGGCCACAGTGGGGTGGGGAATGAAAATGTATTAGCTCATATAAAAAAATGCAAAAGGCATCAGTCTCCATCGTGGCTGGACTGAATGCCATCAAGGCTCAGTCTCATAGTCTCTCCATTTCTTAACTCCATTTCTTTCGGATTAGCTGCACGCTCAGTTAGGCTCTGGTGTGTAGTTCTTATTACTTATTATTATCATCATGATTAGCTGTCCTCATCATCTGCTTGAGTATGATCAGCCAAGTGTCCTTAGACAATTTTTTCATCCATCAGATCCACGATAATGCTACTCTTTCCAGTTTAACAATAATAGTAACAAAAAGAGCAGCTACTATTATTGAGAGCTTACCTTGTACCAGACACTCTTGTTAGACGCTTTACATGGATTATCTATGAAACCTTATAACAACCCTATAAGGAATGTTCTATAATTATCCCAGGAAAGCCAGCCAATTGATTGCAGGATCAGAATTTGAAATCAGGTTTTCTGGGTCTAGAGTCTGGGCCCCAAACCTTCACAAGGCCTCCTGCAGTAACTGTTTAGGGCTAAGAAGA